TAGTTGAGTCTCAGGGTCAGAAAACCTTAAAAAAAATAAAATAAAAATCAAACAGCACCTACACCACATGTTGTTTGGGAGGGTTTCAAGAAAAGAAAATGCTCTCATCCAAAAACAACCCCTAGCATATTCCGTTGTCAGACACGACTGGAACTTCAAATGGGACTGGCTTCTATGGTCAGATGTAACTAAAAAATTAGCTTTTTAGCAACAAACACTCAAGATGGGTTTGTTGCACACAGGGATAAAAATATTAAAAACTGTATTTTTAATGTTGTGGGCCTATATTTCTGCTGGAGGTCCTGGACATCTTGTTTAGATACAGTACATGGCATCTTTGATTCTATCAAATACCAACAGATAAAAAATCTAAAAGTGACTGACTGTTAGAAATCTTATAATCGGCCATGTTTGGATCTTCCAACTGGACAATAATCCAAAAACAAACCTTAAAAACAACACAAAAATGGCTCACTGGGCACAAAACCAAGCTTCTGCTATGGCCATTCCAGTTCCCTGACCTGACCCCTATAGAAAATGAGTGTGGTGAACTGAAGAGGAGAAGCACCATCATGGAGCTGGGAATCGGAAGGGTCTGGAGAGATTCTGGATGAAGGAATTGTCTCTGATATCTTGTCAGGTGCTCTCTAACCTCATCAGGCATTATAGGAGAAAACTCAGAGCTGTTGTTATGCCAAATGGAGGTTTCAAAAAGCATTGAATAAAAGAGTGCCATTAATTGTGTCCAATGTGTATTATAGAAAAACATTTGTCATAATGATATTTCCCCCATTTTAAATTCTTATTCTCCAATGAAAGGTTAGATTTATGTGAATTTTTAAAATAAAAGATCAAAATTATTAATGCAGATTTATTTTCACAGCCTTCTTTGATCATATTTACCAAGGGTGCCAATAGTTCTGACCATGACTGTATATATATATATATATAAAAACAAGTTTAAAACTTAATGTTTTTAAGTATGGATGCTCCAGTTACCTGACTGGTTTAGGTAAGTGGGGTTTACATTTTGATAGAAACATTTGAGGATTTTAAAACACTGTGGATGATAAGCTTTAATCGTATGTAAGTGTGCTTCACCATCTCTTAAGTTTGGGTGCTTTCTTCCTGTACGGCTAATTTATTTTGCCCCGACCTGTAAGGACTGGTCAAGTGGGTAGATAGATGAATGAATTCATTCGGTATTATATGTTTAAATTGACATTTACTTTGCTAGTGTGAGAAATCTGGCAAAGAAATCTATATGCAATGAAGCTTGAAATTATGCAAAACAGAAAAGACTTAGATGTTTAATCTCCAAAAAAGCAATTAACGTGATATTGTGCAATGTTAAGCCTAAATCCAGAGGTGGACGCGAGGGAAATGCAAGCACTCTTTATTATCTCACGCACTCATTTAATTATCACATCATGAGTGCCTAACTGACATATGCTTGATATGTTTTTTATTTAATGTTTGACAGAAGAAAGGACACACAAAAAGATGAATTTCTGTTCACGTCATCAGCAGTCATCGTGCGAAGCAGGCCGATTTTCTTTCATTTTCTTTTTGTTTTGCCTGAAGTGTCCTAGGCTGAAATCGTCTTGAACCTGCATTGGTTTTACTAGTTAACTGTCAGTTAATAATACACTCTCTTCTCTTATCACATATCAGGTAACTGTGTAAGAGTGATAATTCCTTAAGTAAACTGCACTACACACAAAAAAATGTCATTCCTTTTTCTTTTTTTTGGCCAGTGTCAGATTATTATTTTTTTAAAATATTACTTTTGGTGCTTCGGAATCGACATTTGATATTACAGCCCTA